AGCAATATTTAAATTCTAGAAAATTTTACCAAAAAAAACATTTATAGTATTTATTTACTAAATAGACATTTTCTTTTGAAGAATTTCATTTGAACCAGTTTTATGGATGCTTTTTCTCTCCGTAGATTTACAGCATGAGTTTACGCCTGTCTGCTTTCTTTGAAGAACACATTAGTTCAGTTTTGTCAGATTACAAGTCTGCTCTTCGTTTTCATAAAAGAAATACTATAACCAAAAGGAGGAAGAAACGAAATAGAAGTAGCTCCCTTTCCAGCAGCGCTGCCTCAAGGTACTTAAGTGTCTTTTCGATGACGTTAGCTAATCTGTGACTTTGTCATCCAAAATGGCAGAACGTGGTGGTTTTTAATGCTTCCTTTACTATTCCCTATATTGCAGAATGATATATTTGACATGCAAGTTCCTATGATGTGGAGGATTTTTAATCTTTTAAACTAAAGCTTTACTAGTGTAAGTGCTTAAATTCAAACTGCTAAATCTATACAGTAAGACAGCATTTTTAGGATAATGATGGCATCATGCTTTCTGTCATAATTTTAGCATTTATGATGATTCTTCACTAAATATTCACTTTTCAAAGGCTCACAACCATATGAAATCCACTACAAATCTCATATTATAACATATTTCATGATAGTACAAATGTTGGATTCAACAATATTATAAAACTCTTACCACTTAGGTGGAGAATTAAGAGTGACTAACAATGTTCTAATGTTATTTACAGCCCTGAAAGGAAAAAAAGGATCTTAAAACCCCAACTGAAATCAGAAATATCTACCTCTCCATTCTCTGTACCTACACGATCAGTCCTGCCAAGGCATAATGCTGCTCAGATAAATGGTAAACCAGAATCCAATTCTGTGGTTCGAACCAGGAGCAACCGTGTGGCTGTAGATCCGGTTATCACTGAGCAGCCATCTACATCATCAGCCACAAAAGCTTTTATTTCAAAAACTAATACATCTGCCATGCCAGGAAAAACAAGTAAGACTTAATCACACTTTCTACATCAGGGTGTAATTTTTTTTTTTCTTTTTTAAAAAGCTTTTGATTTTCCGTGAGTTTTAGTAATTACCTGAAGCTATTGTTGTTGCTTTCTTTATTGTTTTTCCTCTTTTTGAAAAATTGGGTAAGTGAGAAAAAGAAAATTGAGGTTTAGGGATATTTTTGTAGGGCAAAACAATAGCAAACTGATAGAGACTACCCAAATATAAACCCTAGGCTTGCTAGCAATTTGCCAAGACTTGCCTCATAATCTTAAACTGAGGAGAAAGCTTCTTCTAGTTGGGCTCACTTGTTAAAATTTTCTTGTAGCCATTTCTTACTAGAAAGATTACTGGGCTTCTCTAGTATACATGGGGCTTTGGGTTATATCCCAGTACAGCAGAAAAGAAAGATTTTGTGAAGAAGCCTAAAGTATCACTCTATTTTTGTCCTCTTGGCTAGTTGAAGCAATTCAGGTTAGAAGCAATCCCAGACCTTTTGCTTATGTTGGAGTTCACTAAGTCTTAGCTTCTCATCTTTTTACATTTGTGTTCTAGTGCTAGAGAATTCTGTGAAACATTCCAAGGTCTTGAGTACGCTTCCAAGCCCTGACCAACCCACATTTGGCCATGGTGCGAGGAATAACTCTGCAAAAGAAAGCATGGAAAAGGAAAAGCCTGTCAAACGTAAAATGAAGTCTGCTGTACTGTCAAAAGCATCCACACTTCCAAAGTCATCAGCTGTCATTGATCAAGGTAAAATGTTACTTACATCTGGGTGTGGTGGTACATGGTTGTTCAGTAGAGAGGCTGAGAAAAGATCACAGGTCTGAGGCCAAGCCAATGTAATGAGCACCCCGCCTCAAAAAAAAAAAAGTAAAAATAAAAGTGTTACTTGTATATGGTAGGTCTTTCTTACAATTAATGTTTTTATAGGAGTTGGTGGGTGTCAATTTAAAAGTTACAGGGTGTAATCTGGTAAACCTAGTAACTTGCAGCTTTGTATTAAAAGCAAAACATTGTTAACAATTTTAAAGATTAAAAAAAACCATATGGAACTAAAAATTTATTCTAGAATTAAAGACTTTGAATGTTGTAAACTAGTTTCTTGCTCCCTTGTTAAAAACCTAAACAAATTGGATTTTGTTAACCCAGTATGGCATTATTCATATTTCTAGAACAAAAATATAAACTGTTAATAGACCATAAGTCACAAAAAAAAAAAAAATTACACTGACCTTTACTAAATGGTAACTCACTGGTTTTCAACTCTTGTTGCCTTACACTTAGGAATCCAAAGGAATCCAAAACCTGCAGCGCAGGGTTTGTTTGTTGTTTTGTAAAGGCTTTATGTTTGAAAGATGGGATAAAGCAACTAATAAATATGCCATAAGGCTTATTAAAAGAATTGCTTCATTACCACATTACAAAGAGAGCCCACTAATGAGCATTTTATATTATAGTTTCCAAAAAATATTTCCTGGTAGCTTGGTATTATTCATATGGGCTCCAGCTCTGGAGGAGACCAATGTTGTCTTTTCTCCTCCTGCAACCTACATGCACCTTCTGGTATTGTGTAAGAGCAGTCAGCAGGGAGAGAGTTTGGGGATCCATTGAGGTTTACTTCCTGTCGCCAAAGTGAGGAATGGCTTCATCAGTAAGGTCTTAACTATCTAGTTGTGGTGAGCAATCAAGATCAATGGAAATAGCTTGTGTTGTTGGATGCTTCTGGGGCTCCTTACCAATGACTCAGAGAGATCCTGAGCCAGACACTGAGATTTTTATTTACTAGTCCATCTCTTCTGGGAGCAGCAGTAGCCACTCACGCAAGGTTCTTCTATTCAAATCCTAGTTTAAGTAAAACTTTGAAATTAGCTGTCAAAATAGTCGATTTCCATAATACTTTTTCATATCTTCTTAGTTTGGACTAACCTAAATCCCAAGCTCTCCTCAGTCTTCCTATCTCCACTTACACATAGAACTCTTGAGTATTCCCCCATCTCCCCTTCATGTGGCTTGTGTTCTGTTCCCTATAATTAATTTGTACCTTTGCTGGCTAGTTTTGGTTTGTGCTCCATTTTGTCAGATATTAGAGTACTAGGTATTATTTCATGATTCTACTTGCCTAGAACACCTTTTTCTGCTCTTTTATCCTAAAATAGAACCTGTTTGTAACCCAGTTTGCCAGTCCTTGTATTTTTATTGGGGAATTGAGGCTATTAACATTCAGAGCATTCAAAATTTTGTCTGTTATCATCATTTCATTGTGGTGTTTGGTTGGTTGGGGGTTTTGTGTGGTGTGTTGTTTTTTGTTTGGGTTTGGTTTTGTCTGTGTTTTTTTATTGTCCTAATATTTACTTATCTTCTGTGGCCTCTTGAGTGTGTTTATCTTTCTCTTCATTTCTATGTATTCTTTCTATGTATTATTTGTAGGGCTGGCCTAGTCGTCTTAAATTCTTTCAGTGTTTTTATCCTGGGAAGCTTTGATTTCTCCTTCTATTAATAGACTTGCTGCTACACATTATAATCTAGGCTGACAGTTTGAGGCTTTCAGAACTTGGAATACATCTTTCTAAAGCCTTCTGGTTTTAAACATCTCAGTTGAATAATTAGGAGTTATTTTGATGGACCTGCCTTTGTAAATGACTTGACCTTTCTCTCTGTACCCTTTCTTTACTCAGTTTTTAGTGTTTTCACGGGATGTCGTTGTGGGGTAGGGTGTTTTTTTGTTTTTGTTTTGTTTTGTTTTGTGGTCCTTTCTATTTGGTGTTCAGTTAGACCTCTTATAACTGCATAAGGCATCTCTTCCTCTAGGTTTGAGAAATTTTCTTCTGTGATTTTCTGGAAAGTCTAGCATGCTATTTCTTTGTTCTACGCCCATAATTTGCATGTCAGATCTTTTCACAATATCTCAAAAAAAAATTCTGATACGTGTGTGTAATTGATCTTTTTTGAATGATCCAGTTCCTCTGCTTATATTTAGTGTCTTTATCAGTAGTCTGTCTTTATGTAAAGCAAAACAAAAAACAAAAACAAAAAAACCCTCCTCAAGTCAGTTTGCTTTGTAGAATACCCTTGGCTATTTTATGCACATTCCCACATTTCTCTACCACACCTTTACCTCACAGTTGTAAAAAGCTGATCTAAAGAAAATTGTTTATGGGGGGAAGGCTTGTGGGTTTTTTTTTCCTCTTTACCCCTTGCGCTGACTTGGTAAATTTCTTGGCTTTTATCATGGGATTAGTTAACAGTAAGATTTTTAACCAAAATAATAGTCCACATTACATGATTGATATAGTGTCAATATTGTGTGATTGGAGATTATCATTTGCCATTCAATTACATGAAGAGATAGACTATTTGAATAGCATGTAAAAAGAAAAACTCCTATTCAGTTGTCTTACAGTGAATGTGCACACATGTGTGTGCATGTGGAGGTCAGCAGTTGATGTAAAGTGTCTTTCTCAATCAATCACCTTTTATTTTGAGGAGCAGGACCTTATGGTTATATATTGTTTGTAATTTAGGAAATAAAACTTGCCTGAAGAGTGGAGGACAGAGCTAGCCACAGAAGTAAGGCAGTGGTGGCACACACCTTTAATCCCAGCACTAGGAAAGTTGAGACAGGAAGTGATATGACTGGGCAGAGAAAGGAATATAAGACCGGAGGAGACAAGAATTCTCTCTCTTGCAGAGGCCCAGTCAGGCTGAGGAATTGGTGAGATAAGAGGTGTGTGGTAGCTGTGGCTTGCTCTGCTTCTCCGATCTTTTAGCTTTCACCCTGGTATCTGGCTTCAGATTTTTATTATAAGACCATTTAGTAGTCGTTCAACAGGACCTCTGCGCCTGGACTTCCCCAGTTGGCTAGGTTGGTTGGCCACTGAGCTCTATGGTCCCTTGGGCTCTATTCCCTCAGCAGTTGGACTTTTATGTGTATATCACAGTGCTTGGCTTTTTGGTGTAACTTTTATACATTTGTAAATAAGAGCAGGTGAGGAGCATCAAAGCCATGGCAGTTTTTCTGGAGCGTAAGTGATACAAATTACTACAGCAGATATACTCCTAATCATCTTGGGTAGGGACATTAAGAAGGAAGAGTCTTTGTATGTCCAGGGAACCACACGGAGATCATCAGAGTCCAGACTCTTCTTTGATATAGAAGTTATTGTGGTCACATTCATAAGAGATGAAAGAAAAGCTAGAATTTTTCTAGTCTTGATTGTTGAATCTTCTCACTGATCAAGTGACTGAAAGGAAGAAAGTAAGTTATTTATTGGTATGACCAAATTAAAAGGTCAAAATTAGTATTCTAAGAATATTTTTCTGTGACTTAAATTTCTTAGAAGTGATGATACAGATACACCCTGTGTTTAGTGAGTTAAACAGTAAAAGACTTCGTTGTGATAAACTGCAAGTGAATATGATCATTTCATGTGATTCATACAAAACTCTTAACATACATATTATAATGTGTAATAAAGGAGGCAGACATGGAATTTCTACTCTTTGCTATCAATGACAGTATTAACTTGGGTCTTTTATTTGTACTTAAGTCTGTCTTTCTGTCTTCAGTAAGATCTTTTCCCAGGGGCCAATAAGATGACCCAGCAGGTAACTGCTTGCCTGGCAAGTCTGTGGCAACCTCATTTCTGTCCTCAGAACCAATGTAAAGAGAACTCTCTCCCAAAAGTTACCCTCTGACTTCCACAGATGCGGGTGACTCATGTGCCGCTCACACACAGACATCACCATCCAAGTGTACACACAATTAATACATTTTTAAAATAAAGGTATCTAGGTAATAGCTGAAGAAATTTGTCAATTCTCTTATTTTAGTGGGGTTTTTTTTTGTTGTTGTTGTTTATTATTACTGTATCATTATGTAGAAGTATTCTAGTACCCTTACCGATGAGTTGGAGGGCTAAACGACATATTAATTGTACTGTTTTTTTCCCTTCAGGAGATTGTAAGAACAATGTTCTTATAGCAGGAACCATTCAAGTAAATGGTCATGGAGGACAGCCATCAAAACTTGTGAAGAGAGGGCCTGGGAGGAAGCCTAAGGCAGAAGCTAACACCAGCAGTGGTGAAGTTACACACAAGAAAAGAGGTAGAAAGCCCAAGAAACTTCTGTGTACAAAGCAAGAAAACTCTGAGCAAAATAACATGCCTCCAATCAGGGCTGAGGTGGTTCCTTCTTCAACATGCAACTTTCTTTCTGAAACGAATGTTGTTAAGGAGGATTTGTTACAGAAAAAGAGTCGTGGAGGCAGAAAACCCAAAAGGAAGATGAAAACACAAAACCTAGATTCAGAACTCATAGTTCCTACGAATGTTAAAGTGTTAAGGAGAAGTAACCGGAAAAAAACAGATGGTCCTATAGATGAGGAAGAAGAGTTTGAAGAACTCAAAGGCTCTGAACCTCATATGAGAACTAGAAACCAAGGTCGAAGGACAGCTTTCTATAATGAGGATGACTCAGAAGAAGAACAGAGGCAGCTGTTATTTGAAGACACCTCTTTGACTTTTGGGACTTCTAGTAGAGGACGGGTCCGAAAGTTGACTGAAAAAGCAAAGGCTAATTTAATTGGTTGGTAACTTGAAGCAAAATATTGTACTTCAGAGTCTATGAAGCAGGTACAGTTAAGGAGTAAGTAGAACTAAGGTTTCTGCTTCCTGGCTGCTATGAGGGATTAGGGAATGTTACAATTTGACTTGGGAAAAAAGGAGGCAAACAAACAAATTTAGAAAATAATTTACTTCTTTGAATGAAAAAGAAAATCTATATACATATATATTTCAAATGTTTGCTATTTATTGCCCTTAGGTAGGTTATTCATTTCCACATTCATTTCATTCACTGTTCGAAATTGAGGACCTGTTATAAATTCCTGATTTATTTATGGAAGAGACAGCTCTGCTACACTCTTGAAGCATAGTATTCCTAGTGATAGAATGTTTCCTGGTAAATTGAATTATTTTTGACCAAGTAAGATACATTTTTATTGATACAGAAGTCATGCCCTTAGGAAGAAAGATGTTACACAGAGTAGCAGTACATTAAGAAACGTTTCCTCTAAAGCTAACTTTAAAGACCCCACCATTTGTTAACCTGAGAAGTGTTAGTTGTAGGGTGTTCAACTACAGAACATCTAGAGGAAGCTTTTTGTTTTACTCCATTTCTGCCAAACTAAAGGAGAAAATGTATTGATGCAAAGGAAACATATCCACATTGGAAAACATTTGACTGTCTAATTTTTCAGACCTTGATTCTTGTATCAGTCACTCTATCTCTGTTTATTGTGCCAAAGACTGAGAATCAGTGCAGTGGAAAGCCTGTTTTTGACTGTCAGGACAGCATACACTTTTCAATACTGGAAAAGCTATATATTCTAAAGAGCAAGTGATTACAGAATTATGCTGAGTTGTATCTTTTTTCTTTCTTTTTTTTTCTTTTTTCTTTTTGGTACTAATAGTAGGAAAATAATGCACTGGTGGGTCCTTTGACAGAGATATCTTAGAGACAATGTTTAAGTGGTTAAAGGATTCAAGGAAAATACAGGAAAAAAGTATGGAATTTGATGTTTACTTGATCTGGATTATTTTAAAATTTCAGACATATCCAATAGGCTAAAATGACTTACAAAGAACCATGTCTGTGTGCGTGTGTATATTGATAAATGGTGTGATTGAATAGATATACAAACGCATACTATTACCCAGGTATAAATTCTTTTTTCAGGATTTTTTAGATAGTAGTAGAATAAAAACAATTTTAAAATGTCATACTTTATAGTTTAATTTTAAGGAAAAGATTGGTTATTTTCAACTATTAAAAGTTAAAAATAGGCCAAATCACTTTTTATGCAATCATGTTTTATACAGTGGTCTCATTGCACATTGTGTTTTTTCTGCACTTTTTACGGTATCCTTATCACGCTGGTATCTCAATATACACTCTAAAGAGAAACGCCCATTTAATGATTGTGCCTTGTATTCTATTATTTTTTTGCATCATTAGTAAAATTAAGTTGTCTATTGTAAATGATAACTATATGACTTAGGAGAATGTATTACTATATGTACTGCTATGGAAAAGGAAAGCAGTTATTTATTTCTTTATGGTACATTAGTTATTTTATACCTTGAAAACCAACATAAATGCCATTTCTATTGTTTAAAATTACTTTTTTTCTTTTAAGTTTTAAGAATGTAGTATTTTCTGAGGACTGATATGGTACAAAAATGTAACCAAAATTTTCAGATACTACATTTTTAAAAAGGATGGGAAAAATATGTATCAGCATGAATGATCCTGATGTAGAGAATAAAGTCCTTAATTGAACCTTGGCAAAACATATAATTAGATTATATAATTTTTTCCTTGTTTCCAATAAGGACAAATGTTAACTGTCTTGAAGAATGAAAAGTGATGCATTTGGGCTTTTTAGATCATTTGTAACGAAATTTGTACAGAAACCCTCCAGTGAAACTAAGTGAACCATTTTCCAGATCCTGACTGGATTGCTGTGATTTTACAGTTAAAAACTAATTTCAAAATTTTTAGGTTTTTGTACATTTATTTTTTTCTAACAAATATATTGAACTATATAATTAAAGTTAAGTAGTTAACTCTTCATAATGCAGAAATGGATGACATGTTATATAGAAAAATGAGTCAATTTCACCGTTATTGAAAATGATAGTGTGTATGTTGGAAATTTTAAGTCATTAAAGTAACTAGTTGCTTTTGAAGGGAATCTATTTGAAAAAAATGTAATTTCCTGATGTTATCTGCATTGTATTAGAAAAATAGACTAAAATCCATTTTTATAAAAAAAATGTAGATGTAAGATGTGCTCAGTAAAAGGAAGCGCACACAGTCTTAGTGTGGAGGACCTCTTGAATGGTACACAGATAGTTCCAACTTCTAAGCAGTGAAATAAGTATTTCCATCTTTCCTACAACAAAGAAATACATTATTTCTGTTTTAAAGATGCTGTATATTTATGACCATGTTTGGACATTTTTTCAGACACTGGTTTCTTAGTAAAGCAGAATGACTTGCATCAGATTATTTGTAACTGAAACACTTAAGATATATTAATACCAGATTTTATATTTTTATAATTTAGCTTCTGTAGATTGCAAAAGTTGAATTAAGAAATTTAAGTCATCATGTTTTGGGTTTTACCACTTGGAAAAGTCTCCTTTGAGATAGTAACATCAATGTATGTACTGTTTATAGACCAGAAGGAATTGTTGGCACTTGTCTTAGTTAAGCAATAAGAAAAATATCAAGTTTATGGAAACTTTCAGAAATAAAAATTGTTATGTGCATGGAACATAAAAAAATCAATTTTCAGGCTGAGCTCAGTGGTGCACACCTGTAATCTCAGCATTTGAGAGATGGAGGCAGGAACATCAGGAGTTCAAAGTTCTCTTTAGCTACAAACCAACTTTTAAGACTAGGGCTACAGCAGCAGCAACATCCCCAAAATCAGTTTATATACCTAATTTTGTTCTTTTATGTTATCCTGACTTCACAAAACTTGAGTTTAAAAGAATTCTAAATGTTGTCACAGGGTAGTTTATTTAGACTCCTTTTAAATATAATCTACCAGCCTTTGGAAGTAGATATGTAGGTTCTTAAAATATCCCCCTTCACAGCCTTCTCTAGAGCAATCTGTCTTCTACATATAAGTGTAAACTGAAGATTAAGGGCCTTATTGTCATTGTATTTACTGCATTGTATCACTCCAACTCGAAAGACTGGTGGATTACTATAGAACTGTCTTACTATAGTTAGAATAACTGTAGAAAATTTGTTGGGTGATTAGGCCACGTCAGAAAGAAGAGCTTGACTGGAATCAGTTTCACTTGGAAATTATGTCAGACCCTGAACAGCAAACATTCCCTTACCATAGAACTGTTAACAGAAGTGTTCCTTAGCTATAGCGTCGTAGATTAACCAGATACCTTCATAGGTGTATTGAAATAAAATTTGGGCCCTGTGAGATGTTAGCAGTAGGCAGTGTTTAATTTTGACATTCCGTTTTATACATCCATAGCTTTCTATAAATTTGTCTCAAATGTTAAGTTGAAAGGAACTGGTTTTAAGCTTTCTCTCTAAAGAAAACAAACTGATTTTTAATATTTTGTTCACCTGAAGTTCATTTTTGAGTAGGTTGAAAGGACCAAGGTACTTGAGTGATGAAAGGGCTATTATCAATGTTTATCCTATATG